TATGGCTTTGATTATTTATATATACGGTAATTTAACAGTGTTACCGGCTAACTTGATTATTATATGTTACTATTTATTTCCAGCTGTACTTAACGCCCTCTTGAGGTGCACCATCATTGTGGTACAATGTACCTGACGGTTATTTGAATCTGTTCAACCATGATCTATTCATGTGCTATTCATTTAATTCTGGAGCTATTCATGGACATGAACCATGATCTCGATTATTATTATTATATGTTACTATTTTTAACGCCCTCTTGAGGTGCACCATAATTGTGTAATACAATGTAGCTGACAGGTATTTTAATTTGTTAAACCATGAAGCCTCCGTGGTCTAATAGTGATGACGCACAGGTTCGAATCTCGTCAGAGGCATTTTATTACACAACGTATTTATTTACATTCGTTGAGAGCTATGCTACACGATGTATTATCATGTCCTTTATTCTAACACTGTATTTGCCTGTCTTATTTGATTATTTATACATAATGTAACAGTGTTAACGACTATCTAGATTATTATATCTATATATATATTATATTATATATATATACATATGTGTGTGTGTGTGTGTGTGTGGGTGTGTGTGTGTATGTGTGTGTGTAAATACAGTGCTTGAATAAAGGATACATCGTGTAGCATAGCTTTTAATGAATGTCCAACGGACCTGGGTGGTAAATGTACCTAGCAACCCCCCCTCCCCGAGAAAAAAAGGGGTGGGGACCTTCCCCGGGAAAATTTCTATTCTTAGATGCGAGGAAATACGTTCCCCGACTCCTGAAGTGTATTTTAATGATTTATATGTTCTTCAAAATTCAAGGTTTTATCTCTCTTATAAACGGTCAGGTAAAATGTTTGATGAACCCCAAAAAGAAAGGGGTTGGGGATCCTCCCCCGAGAAAATTTTGATTCCTAGATGGGAAATGAGCTTTCTCGACTTCTAATTTTCGCATTGTCCCCCAACTCCAAGTCGAAATCTTATGTACATTCACAAATTTAACATTATTGATGGTTATGCATTTTTAAAATGTTGCGAATTTTAATAAAGAGGTTGAAGGTCAGATTTTGAAAATGAACTGAACAAGCCCAAAATACACGGGGATGGTCCATGTGACCTTGTAAATATAGTAAATAATTGGAGGTTTAATAATGGACGTATGAGGTAAATGGTCATCAAAGGAAAATCATTTTCAATAATGATCGATTTTGCCCAATTTATTTTTCTTGAGAATTCTTCATCTTGCGTATGACAAGCAG